GAAGAAATTGATTGAAAATTACGTTTCTTACCTTAAACTCTGAACGTCGGTGTCGCTTGCAGCAGACATGGTGGCGTAATTTACTTAGAAACGTTGTAACCAGTCCTAATTGGGTAATTTTAACATTTTACGCACAGTAAGTGTTGAAATAATACACAGCAGCGGAGCACATGCACACACACTCATGTCAACTTGCACACTAAGCGAAAACGGGCAGTCGGGCACCTCTAGTCCTCACTCCTCTACAGTCCACTCCTCCAGATTCAGACACGAACAGCTAACGCAGACAAGCAGCGCCTGAAAATCGACTGTGTGAACGCGAATCATTGCCAAGTGCCTCTAGAATGGATGAAATACTCTAAATGACTTAGTACGGCAGTAAATTCACACCATAACGTAATTTCATCCCACATCACTTAATTTGAATTACACGTTAAATATAATTATATTCAATATTGATGAATTAGTTGAAGTGTGTTTATTGTATAAGTATGCTCATAGTCTCCTACTATTTACGCGTAATATTAATCTCTGCTCGTGAATGTGTAGAGCGTTTGCGGAAGGCTCGACAGTGGAGGATGAAGTCCATAGGTGCCGAGATTTCGAGCCTATGGGAACCATAGTTGTCCATTTTTATTGAATTTATGCTTCACTTCGCCAGAAAATTAAAAACTATCACAATGCTACGAAATCTGACGCTCTGTAAGTGATGCGATAACTTTTAAATGAGCGATAAGCCTAGACGATCATTTGCGACAATATTATTCGCTGAGCACTATTAATAGACAATTTGTACTCTCATCCGCTATGATTAAATTGTAAGCGAACAGTAAGCCAGCTTCAGTAATTGTCACTGAGAAAGCCTCTTCTGAATGAAAAGACAAGTAAGACAAATTAACATTCGTGGGCATTAAAAATCGTCTACGAACATTCGTATACAGTAACATATTTTTCTATGCTCTATAATTTCCCATCGGTTGTCGCCTGAATGAAGAAATATGGTCACATTTTGTTACATGTACCAACCATAACCACGTAAACCGTATACCGGAGGAGAGTAATCTTCAATAGCTTAAGTACAAACCAGCATCACCTTTAGGGATCGGCGTTATCCGACTCACTTATGCTGTAGTTGTAGGCAAACGAAGGGAGAGTAGAACGCCGCGCGTGTGTCCCGGCAAGAAGCGGCCCATATTTAGTCAGGGTTAGGTTGAGGATGGACAGTGCTGAGGAATGCGGTGCTTGTGGCGAGACGTGAGGCAGCCAGCATCGACCCTCCCTTCTCCAGCCCTTTCATTATTTATTGTTTTTTTATTCCTCGAATTTGTCTTATAAATGATTTTCTTCTTGCTCGTCCAATGCAACGTCTCTGAGTGTTCCACATTATAACATGCTTTTTCTTGTTGCATTCACCCGCAACGCTGCATCAATTTTTGAAGCGCCGCTTATGCTCCTGGTCTCCTGACCCTAACAGTTTTTTTATTCATCCCATTACTTCCTTTGTTTTAATTTTTTTGAGTTGACAAAAACTTTCGTCCTTCTTCGAATTTTTCTTTAATTTACCATCTCATGTCATATTCGTTCTCGCCACCTTAATATCCTTCTCCGGAGCCTTTCGTCATTTTACTAATCTCCTGTTTTCAATATCCATTGGTTTCCTTTTCCTCTATTCTTCTACGAATATCTCTTCATAATCGAGTCATCCATCAATGATACCAATTGTTCAGAAGTTCCAACCGAAACCCTATGCCAAAATACTAAAAATTCTAGCGTTATTCGATATTTTTTTCAGATGAGCATTTCTTTTATGTTGACTTTTTGGAAATTCATGCAGTGTAGCTATCAATTTATTCTGTGGCTTAAAGTGTCGTTAGTCGTATTTTGTGATGACATGCTACTATTTTTTTAATTCGGCCTGATGTTTATTGTTATTTATAGCACTGAAGATAGATTTCGTTCTTTGATCAACTTTGATTGTTTGTATAATAACATTTAAAATTAGTATAGGTACTAGTAATTTGTTATATTATAAAGTTCGATTGATGACCAGAGAATGGATTGTTAAAAGCAATTTTCCGAACAGTATTTCAGGTTATTAACGTTTTGAATGGAAAAACATTAATTATCAAATTACACAAAATTTGAAATATGATTATTTGATCGACATAGGTACACGAAAAAAAGTATTGAAAAGCACACTTTATATTGGATAATCATAAAAAAATCGAGCTACTTTAACGTTAAAAAAGTCGGCGTAAATATATTGTCTTCTTTATTACCTGAAATGATTTCCGATATGAAGTTATAACCTACCTAGCTTCTTAAACGTTATTCATTAGGTGCAATTTCTTTATCAGCAACAAAACATATAGAAACACTTCAAATATTTACCTCCGGTATTTAGAAAGAGTAACTCTTACAGATCTAGAGAAAGTTAAGCGTAATCAATGTTTGTGACGGTCTGCTTGCAAACATTCCAGCCATGCTGTTGCAGCGGCTGATTAGTTAGCTAGAATAACCAACTCTGCTGATCTCTTCAACGGCAACAAACGCTGAGCTTGCATGGCGCAACATGAGCATGACATTTTCTGCGGCGTGTTGCAACGTCTTCCTCTGCATCGTCTTGGCCAGCAGTCTTAGTTTGCAAACAAACGCATTCGCAAAGCAATGACCGCTTTACTATAGCGTTCAGAAATGGATAATTAGTGTAGGCTGGCAGAATTTCTTCTCTTAAACAAGTTTTGTTAAAGACCAGAGAATTAGTTTTATTTATTAGCTTCTTGTTAGTTTTTTCAATAAGTCGTACTAAATTCTTCGTAGGTGTTGGAAGATTGAAAATCAAACTACCGATAGACATTTTTAATATTGAACGACGTTTCGAATGCACAACATTCATTTTCAAGTTAAAGACGCATTGAGTAACGAAATTTGGGTTGACATATGTACGAAATCAAGTAAATTGGATACCATTCAAATAATGCTAAAATTTCGTTAATATGATACTACCTACAGGAAGATTTTACAAGCGCAAAAAACTACTCGGAAAACAATCTCAAAGTTCTGACGAAGCCGGTGGTTTGAAGGTTGATAGCTGGAGTCCTCTGCTTAATGATGAGGGCCTCAGCTATAGCCAGTCGTATAGGATCGGGGCACCGCATAACGATACTGGTGCATTCTTTCCAACACCTACGAAGAATTTAGTACGACTTATTGAAAAAACTAACAAGAAGCTAATAAATAAAACTAATTCTCTGGTCTTTAACAAAACTTGTCTAAGAGAAGAAATGGATAATTGAGACGGTGCTGCCATTAATATGGAAAAATATAGCAAAATAACTCTTTGGGTGCGGTCAGACAGAAAGCGAGAAAGCGCACGCGAGCCGAAGCGACTATATTACATATATTACATTCAAATAATACCATAGGGGTGGCCAGATAAGACGCGCGCTCACACTAGCAGCCGCGGCGCTTGCTGATGCGCGAAGCTTGTAGATTTGTTAAAAGGGGAGCGTCTGCCCCAAAATCGAAAATTTTGACTTTTTCGGTTTTTATACTCATCTTAAAGCTTACATTCTGACGCATCTAACGGTACCAAAACCATCTCTGTACGTTGATTTATGCGTTTACGACAGAGCGCGAAAGGGTTAGGGGTGGTGGAGTTATTCAACATTAAATATAGGCCGAAATTACCGGTAGCACACTTAAATAGCTAGTCTGAACACGCTGTGCTTAAGTTATCCGTATGTAGTCGTATGGGATGGTTCTCGTGCCGTGGTTCACACCATCCTTGACAGAAATTGAGCTCAAATATCGTCTAATCTTGCAACCTTGCACCCTTGAATGTCTTTTTCGAGGCGCGCGCGACTTTGTCGGGCCCTACTGAAAAGTTAACTTATTGTCACTGCAAACCTATCTCCTCCTAGAGTTTTGAAGCTACAACAATGAGATATACCGTTCGATTCGCAAAGAAAAGATCTACAACTGATGTGGAGCTTTTTTCCAAGTTCGTTATAGTTGGGATTTTATTTTGCAAAAAGGGGGCGGGGGAGGGGGTGAAATTGGAAAATTTCGAAAGAGTTCGGAAAAAATGCTCCCACACTCACAAAAATGATAAATTCGAAAAACCCTCTACATCATTTGTAGATATGGTCTTTACGCATCGAATGATCTGTGTCTCGATGTTGTAGCTTGGAAATCCTAGGAGATAGATTTCTATAGTACCCCCTTTTTGTCAGTTTTCTATGAATTTCACGTTTTCTTTCAATTTTTCGAAAAATTCACACGAACAAAAAAAACAGAATTCCGTGTTACATACTTGTACCAAATTTTGAATCGATCCGTCTGTTGATATCCCAGATATTTTTTGGGGCAGACGCTCCCCTTAAATATACAAACGCGACTGCGCCCCTGAGACGTCGTCGAGGAGGGAGCGCAGCCGTGCACCACCAATTTTGTATACCAATAAGCCCTGAATCGAACGCCTTGGATCTTTCCGGACATCCACCAATCAGCCGTGAACCACTCGGCTTTGTCTTCTTCCGGCCTCACATAGAACCTGCCGTGCACCACCAGGCCGCGGATCGAATCTGACTTCCGGGCATCGTTAAATTACGTAATTTTACGTTCACTACATCTGAGGTTAGGTTTCAGATAGCATAGTTCTGTTCCAAAATTTATCATCCTTCGACAAGTGGCCGTATGACCGAGGGCTGGTTCGACCCACGGCCTGGATACGGACGACTTGAAGTGTTGAAGGCTACGTTCCGGAAGGCAGGAATCATGATGGTCCATTACATCCAGGGCAGTGGTGGTCTTCGGCAGGCGACCCGTCGAGGATGGATGTCAAAGCCTTGATATGCTCCATCCAAGCCGTGCCGGCTAATTGGGACTCTTCGCACTCCAGGCACGGTGATCGTCAGTACATCAATGACAGCTGGTCGCATGTATGTGATGCATTGAGCACTCCGGGAAAGGCCAATAAAACATCATGTTGTGTCATATATATATATGTACAAGTATTAACCTTATACATGTATTTATAATCTAGAATTCTAGATGTATGCCTGCCATGGAACACTCCCAACGGGAGAAGTAAAGTAAGTAGTCAGAGTGTTACGAACATTGATAGCATATCTCGGGCTATTTCTTTCAGCAGTTGGTGTTCTGGTATTTACTATTTCACAGTGATCCTCGACACCCATTGCTGCTTCTATGTCGATGCCTTCTCGAGCTAGGATCATATTGTGTAAAACACAAATGGCTTTTACAATTACTGTTGCATGTTCAACACTTGTTTCGATAGACTTTGTTAGTAATCTAAACTTTGCGTTCATAATGCCAAACGCGCACTCAACGCATCGCCGGGCTCGAGATAGGCGATAGTTGAAAATTTTCTTTGACTGGTCTAAATTTTGTCTAGGGTAAGGACGCATTAAAAATGGTAGTAGTGGGTAAGTTTCATCCCCAACAATGACAAATGGGGTTTTGTCTTCAGATCCAGGAAGCTGTTGCGAAGTTGGGCAATCAAATGCATTGATATCGAGACATTTAGCTAGATCGCTGTTTCTGAACACTCCTCCATCACTCTGCCTGCCATTCGCACCAATATCGACAGTGACGAACTTACATTCATGATCTGCTACACCTTGCAAAAAAAGAGAGGAAAACTGTTCATTATTGTAATACAATGATCCTGACTTGTGAGAAGCTTTAATGCGAATGTGCTTGCCGTCGACTGCACCGAAACAGTTTGGAAAATTCCACTTGCGATTGAATTGCCTGGCTTTTTCCATGCACAACTTTCTATCAGGAAATGGCATGTAAATTGGCTGAACATTCTTCCAAATCGCTTCACACGTCTCTGAAACAATTGTAGATATTGTGGATCTTCCCATTCTGAACTGAAATGCCAAAGACCGGAACGAAGCCCCGGTTGCCAGATATCTGAAAGAAAAAAAATCTGCATTAATATCTTTGTTGCAATGGAATACCTTAACGTAACAGACCATTGTCATGTAATATATCTATTTCCTATTGACAGTAACATATGTACCAGTGGCCCTTTAAATAATGTTAATTCAATAGGAGTTGAAGTGTTTGTGTCTAATTCAAATGCAATTCAATGTTTTTAATTAAATATATTTTCCCCAGAATCTGTCGCCCGAAAGAAGTATAAAAGCCTCAGAGACCACTTCCGGACAGAACTGAAAAAAGTTCCCCATGGAAAGTCAGGAGAGGAGACCCTGGATTGCTTCCAGAGGAGTAGGTACGGTACACGAGTAGGTACATGGCCTTTCTTCAAAATGGTGTTTTTCCTCAAAGATCAGATGCTTGGACGAAAAACATTTGGTAATTTGAGTGAAATGATACTGAAGCAATCTTGCATGGATGAATTTCAGTTTGATTCATGATGCAAGCATTAGCTTTATTTCGTTTCCCGAAAACCCCGGTAGCGAAGAAACCTCGCTCGATGCAGAACAGTTACCGGTAACAAAGTCACTTCAACCAATCAGAAAGAAAAAGAAAGTAGAGTCCAATTTCCATCAGAATTTTTTAGATCTAGAAAAAGAAAAGCTTTAATTGCTCCGTAAAGACCAGAGTGATGAAACGACTATTGTCGTCAGTTTCTGTTGAGTTTAATGCCTTCTGTGAAAAACATGACACCTAGGAACCAGTGCATGATTCGAATGAAAGTACAGGAATTAGTTTTCCAATTTTTACATGGCGAGGATCAAAAACCTCTGTTATATGTTAACAAAATAAAATTAGAATTGTATTTCTCATCGGATGTTATGTTTTTGCACAATATTTTTTTAGTTTTACTGGCACAGTTTATTAAAAACAGTTTTAATTGCAGATGTATTATATCAGTGGTTCCCAAACTTTTTCAGGCTGGCGCCCCCTTTGGCTCCCTAGTGAATTTCTAGCACCCCCCACAGACATACGCCCTTTTCTTGAAATTTAGTACGCTACAATTTTAAAAGATAAAGGTTAAACACAAATGTGTATTTCACAAATAGAACCCCATTTAGTGAACCAATATGTTTTTCAGCTGTTTTAACTGTTCCAGCACTAGAAACCTAGGACGTCGCGGGCGAACTTACGGCCGGACTCGTGGCCGGTCTCACGAACAATCTTCAAATTCAATTATCAAGTAATATCTCCCAAACTAATGAACGCAGATCTATGAAACTTGGAACACGTATTCATCAGAACCTAATGGTGATGTTTATCTCGTACATTTTTTTTAAATTTTACCTTCATTTGTGAGTTACGCGTATATTGCAAAACAGGCCGAAATTCGCAGTGATCAAAGAATTTCTTCCAAACTATTGAACAGATTTGAACGAAAATTTGAATGTGCATTCCCAACTTTCAAACTGTGATTTTTAAGCTTATGATTTTTTTTATTTTAGCTTCATTTGCGAGTTATTTTTTTTTATTTCACCGTCATTCTTGATTTCACTGCACTTCCTTATATTCGGCCCGTATCGCCGGGTAATTTGTCACTTTAATTCGCGGCGATCAAGAAATTTTTTCTAAACTACAGAACAGATTTCAACAAAACTTTGTATATAAATACCTAACCTCTCAACGGTGATGTTTAGCTCGTGATAATTTTTCTATTTTGCTTTCGTTCGCGAGTTATACAGATATAGGAGGAATGACCGGCTTTTCTACCGGCCGATTTAACCAAGAGCCTTATACGTATAGCCGTATAACTCGCAAAGGAAGACAAAACGAAAAAATGGTAAACAACACCGTTGCTGAGGTTAGGTATTTAAATACTAGGTTTCGTATAAATCTGTTCAGTAGTTTGGAAAAAATTTCTTGATTACTGCGAATTTAAGCATGTATTGCTGTTTGAATCATGAATGAAGGTGAAATGAAAAAAAATCGCGAACGAAGGCACAATCGGAAAAATTTTCACGAGCTAAACATTACCGTTCGGTAGTTAGGACTGTAAATTCAAAATTTCGTTCGAATCTGTTCAGTAGTTTAGAAGAAATTAATTGATCACTGTGAATTTCGGCCCGTATTGCCATATAACTATGGCAAAAACAAACTATGGCAAAATTCAAACAATTTTCACGAGCAAAATATTATTGTCAGGTCCTAATGAATACGTGTACCAAGTTGCATCGAGTTAAGTTCATCAGTTTAAGAGATATTCCTTGATCATTGAATTCGGAAATTGGCCGTGAGACCGACCGCGAGTCCGGCCGTTAATTTGTCCCAGACTTAAACCCAGGAGAGGTTAAAAAAATGTAACTCAGTACTCACTGCAGTGAGTGACAGAGAGAGCATTTTCTCGTCGACGAAAACTTGAGGTCACGGACGGACGGACAGACAGACAGACAGACAGACAGACGGACATGGCGAGCACAATAGTGCACTTTTTCCATAAATGAAAAAATGCACTAAAAAGGATCTGGGTGAAAAAACCATCGCTGGGAGTCATGTGCTGCGCGTGTTGTGTACAAATCGTCAAACAAACGTTCGAACTTCTGACATTGACTTCGGATACCGCTCCCCTACCGCCCTCTTCTTCCTTACCGCCCCCCCCCCAAATATTTCCACCGCCCCTAGGGGGGCGATATCGCCCACTTTGGTAATGGTAACCACTGTATTATATGCTTTGCAGTCATGTATTAAAGTATATGGGAATTTCAATAAAGTATAGCAGTTAAATGAAATCCTTATGATTATTCCTTACCTTATCGTGACAACAAGACGTTCCTCTGGTGAAATGGCGCGCCTCCAGTTGGTAGACTGTTTGTAGATGTCTTCCTTGACGAGGCCGAGTAGGAGGTCGAAAGTTTCTATCGTCATTTTTGTATATTCCTTAAATTTCTGGGCGTCCTTTTTCAAATCACGAAACAAGTGATGGTATTCTCCATTTTCATGGCGTGATGCGTTGATGGGATGAATGCCTATCTTTGTATTCGCACGTTGTAATTGTAAAAACTTGAGGTAAGAAGAATCACTAAGCAGCACCTGTCGCCGAGACGCCATCGTTGCAACTGATCGCGCCACCTCGCAGGCTCGCGGTCGCGTTGTGTCTGGCCAGCTCGCGTCAGCGCGCATTAGCTTTCTCGCTTTTAGTCTGGTCGCAGGCTCGCAGCCTTATGTCCATGTACGGGGAGACCTCGTTTCGAATTTGAAACCGTAATCGCCTGGTAGCAAATTATGTATAGTTTAAGGTATCCAAATACCGTGATTTTTTGACGCAACACGAGGTTGAAGCTGGTACAAGTTTGCTGCCGAGTGTGGTCGTCAACGAGGCCTTGTACAGGGTGACACAAAAAAAACAGAGCTCATAAAAAGTTGAATAATTTCCACAATACTCAAGTAATCCTGTTATTTGTTTCAGATTCATTAAGAAGACGGATTGATCTAAGAGTCTACCACGTGTGAGCTTCGAGATGCCTTGGACTACAGAGCAAAAGACATTTGTTTTTGTGGTATAGAATTGAGATTTTGCAGATGTTGGCTACATAGGTTGTACATAATTCCATAGAATTTTTGTTTCAAACTGAATAAAATTTCAGGAGTTATAAGACTTTTAGTGAGCTCTGTTTTTTTTGTGTCACCCTGTACATCTTTAGAAGGTAAAAGGTTAAAAAAAAGGTTTACAAGTAAAAGTGCAAGATACAAAATTAGCAAATTATTGTGCCAATATAAAATGGTAAATGTTGGTCCAACTAAAAACAGAAGCGTTTTTGCATGTACTTCGGAACGTCCTATAAAACGTTATAGCAACTACTATTATCAGAAGTTCCGAATCGAAATGTCCATGTTCGAATCGCCGACAAAACTAAAAACAGATATTGCACGTGGGACCACTGATCAGTCATAGTACAACTAATTTAAGGCTCGCTTTGTAGACTGGAACACCATTATCTTAAATCAAACCAAGACAAATTTACAGATGTAAACTGATCGTCAAACCCCGGTATATACATATAGAAAAATCATCGACGGCTGGAAAAAATCTCCCACCCCGGCGGCCCGGCCGAGAGGCATTCACGAGCAAAGTTCCCGCTAACGCCATTCAGTGCATTGATAAACGTTAACGCTGATTCAGTAAATTGATAGGATTTTTAAATTGAACATGGTTATAAAATCGTATCTGTCCGATTTCTTAAAATTAATTCGGGGCCGATTTTACACTTTTTACACATCACTATTATAAATAACACGAAGCCCCGATGAATAATGCAAATGTAGTTAGTGGGAAGAACAGTCGCGAGTGGAATTTAAAAAAAAATATTTCATCATAAATATATTTTCATGTTATGATGCAGCTGATATATCGTCAGCGGGAAATCCTCGGGAGAGCACTTGTTGATGTATGCCCTAGAATATTTTCTTACAATCTAACAAAAAACTTTTCATAGCATACTATCAAAGTTTGATATTCCGCACCTTCTTTAAACCAATGAAAGCAATGATGTGTATTAATTTAAAAACACTTCCATCCATGTGAATTTGTCTGACATTTTATTCGCATCATTCATTTGACCTATTGAAACTTCTCGACCAGCCGAATGACAATGTTTCATTTAATTTCATTCATAATTCTTGTCCTGCATAAAACAAAAAAAAAAGTAAAATTCCTACATACAGCGAGAGTAGTAAATATATTAAGTTAAAAAAGGTAAAAAATATTTACCTTTTTGGTACATATTTTCATTGTTGATATTCATGTCTAGTTGACGACGCTCACTTCTTATTTACCCCCAAAATAGTGATAAATTAAATGTCCTACAAGTTATTTGATCACCCGTTTGGGCACCCTTGTACATCAAACAAATGCGTGCTACTGAGAGGCTTTGCGCCGTTTAATTAATCGCTTGTGTTTATCAATGTTCAAAATTATCGATCACAGGACGATTAACAACATTCAATTGGCTATGGACCTGTCTCGTAAAAATATTTTTTTTCCTTAATGTATATACGCCGTTAGATCAATGCATGCGAATTACTGCACGCAACTATTCGTTTAAATTTCATCAAAAAAATAGTAAAGTAATTGTCTTGTGAAGTTACGAATAATGCTTCTTTTATGAGCAATTCCTAAAAAATAACCTCAACTGATAAAGGTAAAAAGGTGTTTTAAAATTTCGATCAGAGCCAAATCAACCAATCACATTGCTTCGAATTTATGAATCCGCGGTTTTATAAACTGGTCGCTGGTGACAGAAGTCAAACATCCTACCAATACAATACAATATAAACTGGTCGCTGGTGTTCAATTCAAACATCCTAATTAGCGTTAAAGGAAAATAAATGAATAAATCTTCAAGCTTGGGCAACCTGCAGGGACTCTGCTCATGCCTCTCGAGGTGAAAAATTTTCCAGCCGTTTGCGATAGCAGTCCTTATTATGTAAGACTTAAGTTTTACGATAACTTACTTCTGTAAATTAGTCTTGATTAATGGTGTTCTAGTCTAAAAAATGAGTCTTAGATTAGTTGTACGTAGAATTATCAGAGGTTTCGTGAGCGACATAAGTTTTTAGTTCTGTCTACAATTCGGAAATGGACATTTTGATTCGGAAGTTCTGAAAATATGAGTTGCTAAAACGTTCTCGAGCGTTCCAAAGTAACCTCTGTTTTTAGTTGGACCAAAAGTAAGATCATAGATTAGCAAAATAATTTGGAAGTACTTTTAAGACGTACAAGGTCTCGTAGGCGATCACACTCGGCAGGAAACTTGGACCAAATTCAACTCAATCACTGGCCTGAGGAGAGACAGGAAAGCAACCTATGACGCTAGACTCGAATCCCCCATAAGAAATCAAATAAAATAAATTTGAGGGTTAGGTGTAGGTGTCACAGAACAAGTTCTAATATTTCCAGGGCTAACATTCGAGACTGCTTGCAGAATGAACTTTTCTAGCATTAAACAGTAAGGTAATTTTTTGGGTCGCTTGATCTGAATTCTCCTCTTATTATAAATTTCAAGAACGTTGTCACTGCATGAAAACCGCGCTTCATCTTCAAACTTCCAACGGTGATCAAAATGTGCGTAAAATAATTAGTTAATTTCATAAATCATCAGGTAACCGGTCTCCAGTAGCTGGTCGATGTTACAAATTGTTCAACTTTCTATGGGTTATGATATAAAACCACGACTCATCATATCAAAGTCATGTCGGCGCTGAAGAGCCTGATGTGGCCTGTCGCCGATTCTTGTACTTTTCGCGACTTGTTCAGAGATCTAAAAACAGGTTCTTTTCAAAATTGATGATAGTTTTAAATAGCTACTAAACTTCCACCAGGTTCGATAAGGCGATAAGCATTCTAAGTCTGAGCAGATATTTCGGCACAGCTCTATCTATAGTCTATTCTTGAACGCGTTTATGCTCGCAGGGTCAACGATTAAATAACGGAGGCTGCTCCACACTCGGTTATTCGAAGCGAGAAGAAATGTCGCGTGGAAGAGTTGCAACGCAGTATTTTTAGTTTTTAGTCATGGCCCCTGGTATTGGTTCTTGTTTCAAATTCTAGTAATCCTTTTGGGATCTTGTACAAACCATGAATATACTTGTTTACTTCATTGCGGTCACCAGGCAGACAATAGATGCTTGGAAGCTTCATAATCTTTTATCTTTCTTCGTAAGACATTCCGTTCAAGTCTTGAATTATCCATGTCGTCTGATCAGTCAAAGAAGTTTATTGCATTATTAGCTGCGTTTCAATATGCCCAGAAAATTTCAGCGCCATGTGAACATGAAGTCCCAAATATTGTTCCGCGCCAAACTTTTCAATAATTACTCTCTCGTTGCTGTAATCTTGCTGTTCACTGTCAACTTACTGTTGATTGCTGTAATACTGTAATCTTACTGTTCATTGCTCTTCCCGAGGTGGAGTACTTTATACTTGTCAGTATTAAAACGCAGCTTTCCACGATGTGGAAGCTCTATTTTTGAACAAAACATCTTAAAGGTTCAGGAAAATATTTTCATGCTATAGGAATAGATTAGCAATTTTAGCAGTCCAAGCTAGGGTTGTCAACAACTTTCAAAGCGGATAGCAGTATCGACCTTTCTGCAGTTATCAAACAACGATACTTCGTCAATATATTTCTTGAATCGTCAGTAAATTCAAACTATTCACTCGCTGGACAAGAAAAGGTAAAGGATAAAGAAGCATTAGGTAAAGAATAAAGAAGCATCCTACTTCTCCACTTTATTTGAATGAACGGAGTCCGGCGATATCAGTTTACCCATAACCGACACATGCCGTCCCTGGTATCCTTAAATATTTGAGGATGCCAGGGACGGCATGCTATCAAGAAGTCATGCTATCAAGAAGTCAGGGACGGCATGCTATCAAGGACGGCATGCTATCAAGAAGTCATGCATGCTATGGTCACGGCATGCTATCAAGAAGTCAAATGCTATCCTTAAATTACTAATTGGGAAGTTTGAAATCCCGCTACTACAGGGCATCAAATGTTTAAAGGAATCATGGAAAGTTCCGCATTTCGTTCATTGTTTGAATTTTGAGTTCTGCCTTCCCTCAGCTGAGGTCTTTGAATTCACCCTGCTGCTCACCGGTCCCTTTTTACGCCGTGCGTGCGTAGCCTGGCTTCCACTACACGTAGTTTCCCCGTGCGTGCGTAGCCTGGCTTCCACTACACGTAGTTTCCCCGTGCGTCCGTAGCCTGGCTTCCACTACACGTAATTTCCCCGTGCGTGTGTAACCTGGCTTCCACTACACGTTGTTTCCTCGTGCATGCGTAGCCTGGCTTCCGCTACACGTAGTTTCTCCGTGCGTACGTAGCCTGGCTTTCACTAAACGTTGTTTCCCCGTGCGTGCGTAGCTGGGCTTTCACTACACGTTGTTTCCCCGTGCGTGCGTAGCTGGGCTTTCACTACACGTTGTTTCCCCGTGCGTGCGTAGCCTGGCTTCCACTACACGTTGTTTGGCCGTGCGTGCGTAGCGTGTCTTCTACTACACGCTGTTTCGTCGTGCGTGCGTAACTTGGCTTCCACTACACGTTGTTTCCCCGTGCGTGCGTAGCGTGTCTTCAACTACACGTTTTTTCGCAATAAATTCCAGGAATTCGTCCCGAGTGATGAAAGATGAAACTTGTTCACGGCACATCGGACAAGACCGGCTGCACGAAATAAAAAATGGATCCCGTGTTAGAATGTTGATTCTAAAATTACAGTTCATATTGTAGGAGACGCTGTTAATTTGTGCATTGTTGTAAATATGAACAAGTCGTTAATAATTTTTATTATCTTCCTGTAGAGGGACGTGAGGGATTCATTTCGCACTAGGTTTTCTAATAATAATAATCGTTTTTGGTTTTGACAAATTAACTTATCGTCCTAATTTGTAACAAAGATTACGATGTATTACACGTTCAAGTTGTTTCAACAGCCAGTGTTTCATCATTGAAACTCAATTAAAACTTACGTCAGAGAAAGCAACAATAACTTTTTCTTAGCTACTAAACACAGCTGTGGTGATCACAGAAAAAAAGTGATCACAATCGGTGATCCCTTTTCTTTGTCTATTCAACTTCATTATTTCGTTGACTGATTTTCAATGCTACATAATTCAACTTTGAAATTAGCTTTATATTTTTTAGTACTGCGATTTCTCGCCGAAAAGACCCAAGAATTCCTAATCTACCCAATAGATAACAGCATGGCAAATATGATCGTCATTGAGCGAAAGCCATTTCTGCCGTGATTGCGATTCGCACACTTGATTTCTGTGAATTAGAAAAAATCCCATTCGAACTCCAATATATAAACAGACAAATTTAACTAGTTCTAAATTTAAAGGAATCATTTACTTCGGCTCTAATATATTTTCGCATTGCCTGCGATTTGAAGGTCCCATAATACCGAATCTACTCTCACAAATCCCGCTGACAAGTATGAATTTTTAGGAAGTCAATTAAAGGGAAACTTGAGCACACACATAATAAACTTCGAACACTCGCTTATTTATTGAACAAGTTATTTTATTGCAGGTTCCCTCATTTTGCACTCCGTCATCCCGCTGAAAACGATAATTTTTTTAGTTAATTGAAGAGGAATTTGGGCAAACCCATAATTAACGTCGAACCTTCAGATTTTCGCCGAACAAGTTATTTTACGAGAGGAAAATTGTAACTTCTGAATTCATATAAAGAATTAGTATTCACTTGCTACTTGGGTTTCTAGATTTTAGAATCTCATTTATACCAATCCTCATAAGTTTCCAATCGAAAGTGAAGCCCATCAAAAGACCCGTTCAAATCCCAATTCAACATAGAACTCTTGTTTTTAAATGTGATAAAATTGTAAACCGCCCTTCAAAATATTAGATTGAAACTAGGCTTAGTTGGTTTTCGATTCAACCCTCTTTTCCCCGCTCTGGGTCTCATCATTCTACATTCAGAAAAATTCTCAATTCCTGATTGTATATCGATAAAGCAACCAAACAGACATTATAATCATATAAATGAGTATATAAGATCAATCGAACCTACCGACACACAAAGAAAAAATATATTAAGGGTTAGTTCGCTTTAGTTTGTTAGAAGCCCCACGCTGAACTCTGAACTTGAATTTCAAATTAGTCTTAAGGCACTACAATCAAAATTCAACATCTTCATTCTAGGAATAAATTTTTGAAACCTTCAACTTGCCTCACATTTAGCCATCCTTGAATGCAAGTTGTGCAGAAGACGTGCTTGCAGTTCGGTAGCACGCCAAAGTTGGTTTGCGGCGTGATTTTGGTATCGAGACACACAGCGCATGCTTCTGCCTCACCGCTCTTCGGAATCAAATCCTCTGCTGACTTCACAGATAAAAACCAAGACCATGGATAGACATTGCGTTTTCCACATATAGCTCCGACCATGTTGATGTTCCCTTCAATTATACTAATTTCACTTAAAAATTCTTTGAGAGGTATTATCAACGGGAAGAGCTTGAATGGATCCATCAAATTATCAGTGCGTCCGTGAACTAATTCTATTAGCACGGCTTTAAGATCATGCACCATGATTTCGTCTGATTCCTTGAATGGAACACACAAGGAAATATCTGAAAGAGACCGGACAATGTCTCGAACACTTTCAGTGATGCTTTTAATTCCTACATCACTTATTTCCCTATTCACTTCACGCCTCCCGCTTCCTTCCAATCGTCCGACAAATGCAGCGTGTAAAGTGACGGAAGTAGAAGAAAGACATTTTAAGGAAGGATTACGGCGTGCAAGGGTATGGATAAGAAAAATATCCTCAATTATATCCATTGCCAGAGCATCCACACCATCAGGCACTGCAAATTCGGGTGTTGTTACTTCATTTTCATTGGGATTTGTTGAGCTTCTGCTGTCCATTTCGGTGCGTTGGTGGTAATCCTGTTCGATGGATTCTGTATTACGGCGAGGCTCGCCGTTTACATTGAGATTCGCAGGAACAGTTGAAATTGGCAGAGTTGAGATGTACTCAGGAGCCCCAGTCGTGAAGTTACTGGTAGCGTCAGACATGATTTGTTCTGCGACTGACGAACTTTTACGGCTGCACTTCAAGTCAAGCAGAGTCCCAACTGACTTGAGAACTGCACTGATGCTGGATCTTTGAGGAGCTGTAACACACTGACGCAATGGTTTACATTACACGCCTCTACCCTTCGCCTACCCTACACGCTACTAAACTCAAACGGGTGATTCGGGTCACGATCCGCCCCGTTCTTTGTATATTGTCATCTTCTAGAAATTTCCATATTTCTAGTTAGTTCTAGTCTAGTTAAACTAGTTTATTCTATTGTAGTTCTAGTCTAATTTATTTCCTTATTTCTAGTTTTTTCGTTTTCATTCTTTTTTTAAGCTGTTTTCTTTGCTTTTACATTCTTGATAAACTAGCGATTTAAGCAATAATAAGCGATCAAAAGCAATACTTATATCCGATCAAAATAAGGCGAAGATGGATGCCACTGTTTTAGAAAGTACTGTGATCTTCATCGAAAGTCGGCCAAGACTTCTTTAGACATCAAATTTTTAGTAAAGTGTAAATTTTACGGTGCGTTCCCTAAATTTCTGAGGGTCAGACTCTACAAACGTTGTCTGCATGCTTCGTCATTTTACAAGCCATGGTGGAACAAGCTCCTTTCCAAGGAACTATTCTCCAAGAAGAAGACCTTGAAAATTGTAACCGATTTGATCACCGAAAGTGAAGCACGGGTCGGGAATTTATTTTCCATTCTTGATGCCTTTGCTATCCGTAAACAGACCAGACGTCTAACTGAATCATTCAAGAAAACTACGAGCCGGACCCATCGGAAGAAACTTAGCAACCTTGGTATCCAGAATGAAATCCATCCTTGTAACCCTGGTAAAGTGGTTTTCAATTTTAGTTCATACAACTTGGAACCACCAATCAAATTCTTGCTGGCTTTCGGCCTTGATTTTTGTCTGCCGGTTTTTAAATTGGAATTCTATACTTTTAAATTTTAAATTCCAATTTAAATTGGAATTTTAAATTGGAATTCTATATATATATATATAATTCTGGTTCGTAATCAAGTTTTAACCTTTGAAAGACTTGCTCTTAACATAAGAAATGTTTCCATTACCAATCGTCCTGAATTTCTTGGCAACTTGCAAAGCCTAGCTCACCGTCATTTTTACGGCTTCAAATCTTATAAAATTGTCTCATCTGTTTTCCAACCCCGTGACAACCATTTGTTAAAGGACTTGGCCAAAAATAAAGACCTAATCATCTGTAAGCCAGATAAGGGCAAGGGAGTCGAATTGGTTGATCACAATCGTTACATCAGTAGCATTTCTGCTCGCATTACAGACTCTTTTGAATTTATCGAAATTTTAGATCCAAATGCTAAAACTATTTTGAAGATTGAGGATAAAATTAATAATTTGTTAAGAAAACCTAAAGATTCAGCTGCACTTATCTGAAACTTATTTGAAACTTTATGCCTCTGACTCTTGCCCAGGTATCTTGTGTATGGCTTGCCTAAAATTCATCAGCCTGATTTTGCTTCGAATTTTCAGTCTCGACCTATTTTTGCTACCTACAACACTACGAGCTTCAAGCTTGCTAAATTTTTGGCCCCGGTGTTGAACTGTTTGACAACCCATCAATAAACGGTAGACAGTTCTTACGTTTTCGTAGACCGCTTGTAGAGTTTCACCGATGTTCAGGATTCAACTATGGCTTCATTTGATGTAGAGAATTTGTTTACAAATATACCTCTCCATGAAACTATTGATATTTGCCTCAATTCGTTGTTCAAAGAGATTTATGACAATGTCATGGGTTTGAACCGCGAAATTTGTAAATTTCTTCTCGAATTTTCGGTTTTAAACTCTTGTTTTGTATCAGCCGGCAAATTTCACAGACAAATAATTGACGGCTTGGGCATGGGTCTTCAACTCGGTCCTACTTAATTTTGCAAATATTTTCTGGACAAAACTTTGGGAAGCGAGGAAACTAATCAAAAGGAATTGAGGTCAAACAAAACACGATTACAAGCAAGGTTTAAATAGTCTTTTCTTTCTTTAATGAAAATTACTAAATGCCATTAATTCCATCATCCCTAAACTTGCTCGGTACTGCCTCCAAAATTTGCGGTTGCGACTCCACTTCACTGTGTGTGAAGAGGCAATGGAGTTGCGCCTTGCTTCCGCGTCTGCCCAACCCGTATATTCTGAAGAATTAAAAAAAAAAAAAAACGGTGGTCAAGTAAAGCACAAAGTTAAATCGGACGTGGAAAGTTGAAGCTCGATTCGGTAAAAGGTCATTAGAGACAAAATTCGCGAATCTTAGTTCAAAAATACGCCGAGCAAGTGCAAATTCTTTCCACATGTTCTATATTGGGTGTAGAATATACAGCATTTACAAAAAGATCATATAGCGCGATTTTCAGAAATACCATGAAAATTCATAACTCATAAAATTATCAAAGTAATTTATACGGGATTTATTATTTACTCGGGTCATAAGTGAAAGGAATAGAATTTAGTACCTCATCACCTCTTGCTCCATGCTTAGAGAGATAGGGTGACATGCCTGAAATACTAAACAATCCTTGCATGGATTGCTGGTGCCGAGTTCGTTTCGGGGCTAGTCCTCACCCACGCAGAGGAAGGTTGCTGGGGTCAAGGTAGTGGTAGCCGCAGCGAGGAACCATGGGCCGTGGAGGTTTATCGTAGAGCAGACGACACAGGTGCTCACGTCCATCATTCCGACCGAGCTCAGGCCGGGCTTCAAATACAAGCTTCACTCCATGGGGTCAACAGAAGAGCAGGGGCTGAACATGACCACTGGGTATCTTGGTGCTCGATGGTGGCACAAAACGAGGAGGAGATACAGCAACACCCTGCGAGTTAATGTTGCGGAGTTGTGCAACGAACTGCCTGAAATTCTTGATAGAGGGCGTGAAGTGAAGTTGCATGGTCGAAATGTTAACGTTAGAAGTACCCCAGGCGTCACCCAAACCACACAAGGCACAGAGCAAGTAATGAGACCATGACCCGGAAATTTGAAACTATTGAAAATTATTCAAAACTAAATCTTAGTTTTGTTTATTTTCATGTGTTTTCACGAGGCTAAATGGCTGGCTAATTGTCCTCTTGATTTTAAGCCTTTTTTCTATAACCTATATGTCGATGATACTATTTTACTTTTCAAGCATCCGTCTCATGTGGGCCTTTTCTTTGATTATTAACTTAACCTCCACCATCAGTCAATAAAATTCACCATGGAGCTTGAAACCAACAATAGTTCATCTTTTCTCGATTGCAATGGTACAAAATCTACTCTAAAATCTGATTGTTTCCAGACCTCTGTATTCCGAAAGTCAACGTCTACCGGTTTAAGCACCAGCTTTTTTTTTAGTTTTTGCTCATTTCGTTTCAAATTAAATGGGATTAATACATTAATAAATCCTTGCTTCCGTATTTGCTCAGCTTTCAATGCTATGCAGACTGAATTTAAATTTTTGCGCAGCATCTTTTAATTAAATGGGTTTCCGTCGCAATATGTTTACACTCAAATTAAGAAATTCATGTCTAGGCAATATAATGAACTTGTTCCCGATTGTGATTGTATGATCCTGATTTATTGTTCTTATCCCTACTTCGGTAATACTGCTGAGACTATGGCTAAATAATTGAAAGTTTTTTTTTCGAAAAATATCTTCCGAATGTTAATCTGTTGGTGAATAACTTTAAAATCGGCTTGTTCTTCATGTTTAAAGATGCTCTTCCGCTTTTTATACGTTCGTATCTAGTATATAGATACAATTGTGTGCAGTGTGCATCAGCGTACGTCGATATGACGTTTTGCAATTTCTACACTAGGCTGGCGGAGCATAAGGGCAGAAGTTTTAGAACGGTATTCTGACCTACGAATTTAAAATTCCTGTATATTTTTAAACAGAAACCTAGTTTGAAGGCAGCCTTCAGCTCCTATCCAATTGAAATTGTAAATTGATAGGCCGATCACCTCATGTGTATTTGTTTTTTCTTTTGTCAATTTAGGTTTTATCTTCAATGGGAATTTTAGTTTTCCAATTGATGCTGCTTGTCTAATAGGTTTTGAACTTTTGAACTGACGATGGAGCTGGACTCCAAAACGTTTTCATTCTTAAGAAATGGTGAATTTTTTGGCTGTTTTCTTTGCTTTTAAATTCTCGATAAACTTGCGATATTAGCAATCAAGTGATTATAATAATTATTTCCTTATTTAGAGTGTTATGGAGGAAATTCCCTGCCGTCCACATTTCCCAAGCCTCACACGCTCAGAGTGCGTTTCCAATCACCTGCCATCTACTCTATCCTGTATGTTCAGGTCGAAAGTTTTCATTGTTCCTGATATATGAGTGGACGGCGGTCATTCGATCTTTTTAGTTAGGCTTACACTATCGAATTTATTCTTTCTGCCCGCACCGCTTCGGCACTTTTGCGCTAAATTTTGAGTTTAAGTTTTCATTGCACGTTTTCCACGCATAACTTTGTCTAATCCAAACCGATTTTGACTAAATTGAAAACAAGGTTATTTGTTCATAATTCGCATCTGCGAGCGTTGTATATTTCTGTTTTATTTTCGATTTTTATTTGCGCATAAAAAGTTACGTTTCAGCATGTTTTACGCATAATTTCGACGTATCGAAAATGATCTTTTCCCAATGAACAAAGATGCTTCTTGCTCACAATTCGATCCTGTGAGCGTTGTCAGAATTATTTTTGACCCATTTGTGTTAACTGCACAATGAACTATTGCTCACTGTACAATGACTGATCTTTCTCTGCAAAATGATTAATCGTTCACTGTACAATGACCGATTGCTCCCTGAGCAATGCCATGAACGTTCACTTTCTAATGACTGCTAGCTGCGCAATGACGACTGATTGTTCACTGCGTAATGATTGATTGCTGAATGACTGATTTTTCACTGTGCAATGACTAACTGCTCACTGCGCAATGACTGAATGCTAACTCCGTAATGACTGATTGCTTACAACGTGATGACTGACGGCTCACTGCGCACTGACTGATTACTCACTGCACGCCACTATCATTTTTCAAATGCTATTTTGGAAGCATTTATCGTGAAGCGCGAGAAAATATTTCCACTAATCAAATTAAACGTTTCGACAATGAAAAGTAAAACGGGCAACTAGAGGCAAGGCTGGTAATAAACTGCAGTTTTTCACTTGCAAATGCCATCGGAAATTTACAAATTATAAAAGCAGAACAAAAGATTCTAACAACAATCAATATTAATCTCACACTGTGTATCCAAAATTTCTCGGTTACATGTCAGATTAAGCGTCTATGGACTTTGTCTTCTAGAACGTCTTCCGGCATTGTAACTAACTATCAGTACATTTTTAGGGTATCCTTTTTTGTATAGTCGTTGTAGTGCATTATTCAAGCAAGTAATTCATTAAAAAATAAGAATTCAAGTGATTTAATAATCTACAATGCATAAGACATCATTATTTATTTAATTTAGTTACATCTTTACATTTTCCTTCTTAATTTATCATCCGAGACCCTAGCCGAAGGCCTATCGAATTTTTATTCTGATGAGGTGAATTAAAAAAAAATATTTTCAGTGGCTGGTTTTTAGAATTTCTCCT